CAACACACATCCAACAAGAGGTTGATATCAAGGATATACAAAGTACTGCTTGAACTCCACAAGAAGAAAACATCTAACTCCATCAAAAAAATGGGCTGAACAGAACAGAAACTTTCAGAAATGAACAGAAGAAACTTTCTCAAAGAAGAAATCCAAATGGCTAAAATGCACATGGAAAAATGCTCTACATCATTAATCATCAAGGAGATGCAGATCAAAACAACAATGAGATATCACCTCACACCACAGAGACTGGCCCACATCCAAAAGAACAAAAGCAACCAGTTTTAGCGTGGATGTGGCAAGAAAGGGATCCTTCTTCACTGCTGGTGGAAATGCTGACTGGTTCAGCCCTTTTGGAAAACAGTATGGATGATTTTCAAAAAATTAGAAACTGAGCTCCCATTTGACCCAGCAATACCACCCCTGGGAATATATCCCAGAGTGGCAAAAAAGTATAGTCGAAGTGACATCTGCACTTGTTTGTTCATTGCAGCACTGTTTATAATAGCCAGAATCTGGAAAAAACCTGAGTGCCCGAGAACAGATAACTGACTGGTTAAAGAAACTTTGGTACATCTACACAATGGAGTACTATGTAGCTGTTAGAAAAGATGAAGTCACAAAATTTACATACAAGTCGTACTACATGGGAAGTATCATGCTAAGCGAAATGAGTCGGAGGGACAGACATAGAAAGACTGCATTCATCTGAGGAACATAAAGTAACAAAATAGGAGACTAACACCCAAGAATAGCCAAGATAAGTACCAGGAGGTTTACTCCATGGCTTGGAGGCCAGCCGCACACTCTACGGGAAAAGGCAGCTCAGATAGAGAAGGGAGCACCAAATAAAGGGTGTTGGGAGGATCCTCCCAGGATTGGAGATGCATGCTGAAAGTAGACTATAGACTGAACATGATTGCTACTCAATGCCTCTTTTGCAAACAACAGCACCTAAAAGGAGAGAACAAAAGGGAATTCCCGGCCACAGAGGCAGGGTGGGATGGGGGGGTGGGGGGTGGGAGGGATACTGGGATCAGCTTTGGTGGAGAATGGGCACTGGTGGAGGGATGGGTACTCAATCATTGTATAACTGAAACCCAAGGGCAAAAATTTATAAGTCTACAACTGTACCTAGTGGTGTTTCACCAATAAAAATTTTTTTAAAAAAGTGGGATTCCTGGCTTTTCAATAATTCATTATTCCTTTTTTCACATATATCTTGTTTTACATCTGAATAAAAAGATTAACCTGCTAGAACAGCAATGATAGCACAGTGGAGGGGGCATTTGCCATGCTCACAGTCAACCTGTGTTTGATCCCCGGCATACCATATGGTTCCCTGAGTACTGCCAGGAGTCATTCCTGAGTACAGAGCCAGAAGTAACCCCTGAGCATCACTGAGTGTGACCCAAAAAGCCAAAAAATATATATATATTAAAAAAAAAACCTGCTATAAAAAATGCCAATTAGAGAATACTGATTTCATGCAGAGCATCTAGTGGTTAGTGGCAGTCAACGCTGGGTCTTAAATCTTTTGGGGTTAAGATGGAGTTCTGATAGAAATAAATCTTCAATAGGTATCTGTAATGTCAGAAATAGTAACTTCTTAGTTCCAGATAAGGAAACAATGATGAAGTTCTTCTCCTTCCTCATAAAATAAAGATTAAGCAACTCTGAATTAATTCCATTCCTCAATGAAACCAGTAGCATTTAATGAGTACTTTATATGCAACAGCACACAACATATTTTACATATTCTAATAAATTTAATATATCCATCTATTTTTTCCTGTGCTCTAACAACACAAAATGAGAAAATCTTTGAAGTACAAAAATTTATTCACAATTGCACAATAAACAAACAGCTGCAACTCAAAATAACAAAGCAAATCCTAAACACTTATTTTTCTCAACACCTACCTTCCTATCCTTTGACAATACTCTTTATTAAGAAAATATAATACATACTGTTTTTCATATCACTCTAAAACTGTCCTTTTTAACCATAGCCAACTTTCTGATATAATACAGATGAAAATACTTTCCAAGGTAAGTGCTGACTTTTGAAAAAGAGAAGTAAATATACCAAACACACACAAGTTTTTAATCATCTCATTAAAATGTAGACCATTACTTACACACTCCAACAGGGCAAAGTGATCTTCTTTAAAATAAGTACCTGAAGTGGAGTAAGGAAAGCCTCTTTAATAAATTGTGTTGGCATCACTGGACGGCTACATGCAAAAAAATGGGCTCAGAACTCTGCCTAACACCATGTACAAAAGTAAGATCAAAATGGATTAAAGACCTCAACATCAGACCAGAAACCATAAGGTACATTGAAGATAAAGTTGGCAAAACCCTCCATGACATTGAAGCTAATGGTATCTTCAAAGATGCCACGCCACTGGCCGAGCAAGTGAAAACAGAGATAGATAAATGGGACTATCTTAAACTAAGAAGCTTCTGCACCTCCAAAGAAACAGTGACCAAAATACAAAGACAGTCTACAGAATGGGAAAGGATATTCACCGAATACACATCTGACAAGGGGTTGATATCCAGGATATACAAAATACTGGTTAAACTCCACAAGAAGAAAACATCCAACCCCATCCAAAAATGGGGCAATGAAATGAACAGAAACTGTCTCAAAGAAGAAATCCGAATGGCAAAAAAGCACATAAGAAAATGCTCTACATCATTAATCATCAGGGAGATGCAGATCAAAACCACAATGAGATACCATCTCACACCTCAGAGACTGGCCCACATTCAAAAGAACAAAAGCAACCGATGCTGGCGTGGATGTGGCGAGAAAGGGACACTCCTTCACTGTTGGTGGGAATGTCCACTGGTTCAGCCCTTCTGGAAAACAGTATGGACGATTCTCAAAAAATTAGAAATTGAGCTCCCATTTGACCCAGCAATACCACTCCTGGGAATATATCCCAGAGAGGCAAAAATGTATAGTCGAAGTGACATCTGCACTTGTTTGTTCATTGCAGCACTCTTTACAATAGCCAGAAACTGGAAGAAACCTGAATGCCCAAGAACAGATGACTGGTTAAAGAAACTTTGGTACATCTACACAATGGAGTACTATGTAGCTCTTAGAACAGATGAAGTCATGAAATTTACATACAAGTGGTACAATATGGAAAGTATCATGCTAAGCGAAATGAGTCAGAAAGAGAGGGATAGACATAGAAAGATTGCATTCATCTGGGGGATATAAAGTAACAAAGTATGAGATTAATACCCAAGAATAGCTGAGATCAGCACCAGGAGGATTACTCCATAACTTAGAGGCCAGCCGGGTATCCTAGAGGAAAGGGCAGTTCAGATAGAGAAGGGAGCACCAAATAAAGGATGTTTGGAGGATCCTCCCAGGAGGGGAGATGCATGTCGAAAGTAGACTATGGACTGAACATGTTTGCCACTCAATGCCTCTTTTGCAGACCACAACACCCAAAAGGAGAGAGAAAACACAGGGGATTGCCCTGCCACAGAGACAGGGGGGATGGGGGGATGGGGGTGGGAGGGATATTATCCATGGTGGTGGAAAATGGGCACTGGTGGAGGGATGGGTATCTGATCATTGTATAATTGAAACCAAAGCACAAAAAATTGTAAATCTACAACTGTTAAAAAAAATAAAATAAAATAAAGGGAAAAAAATGGAAAAAAAAAATAAGTACCTTACTCTGATCTCTAAGATAAAACTAAAATTTTACACTAATAATAGCTTCCTGTCAGAAGTTAACAATTCTAGAAAAATTACTATATAATTGCACTATAATACATGTAGTATAAAAATAATTCATGTTAACAATGATAGTGGGCTGGAGCGATAGCACAGCAGTAGGGCGTTTGCCTTGCACGCAGCCAACATGGTCGACCCGAGTTCGATTCCTCCGCCCCTCTCGGAGAGCCGGCAAGCTACCGAGAGTATCTCACCCGCACGGCAGAGCCTGGCAAGCTCCCCATGACGTATTCGATATGCCAAACACTAACAACAAAGTCTCCAGTGGAGACGTTACTGGGCCCGCTCAAGAAAATCGATGATCAACGGGAGAGCCTTTACTTTGGGCAGAGCGATAGCACAGCGGTAGGGCATTTACCTTGCACGCAGCCAACATGACCAACTCGAGTTCGATTCCTCTGCCCCTCTTGGAGAGCCCGGCAAGCTACCGAGAGTATTTCGCCCGCGCGGCAGAGCCTGGCAAGCTCCCTGTGACGTATTCGATATGCCAAACACAGTAACAAGTCTCATGGTGGAGACATTACTGGGCCCGCTCAAGAAAATCGATGAACAACGGGAGGACCGTGACCGTGAACAATGACAGCATTGAACTGTGGGTGTGACGTGGCTTTTCAATGAAATATTATCTTCAATACATCCTTCTTCACTCATGGGATTTGATCTAAATCTTTATTAAAGCATTTGTTATCTTCGTTTTTGTGGTAATGAGATGGAACCCAGGGCCTCACACCATCTAAGCCATGCTGCTCTCCCCCCGAGTCATACCACCGCCTTTCATTAGAGTTATGCCATAAATCACATCCAGTTACTGCATTCAATAATCTAACAAATCTATTTTTTTCCGTTTTCAGAAGGATAAAATTTAGCCATTTCAATGTGATTCTTACATGACTGCGTAGTTCAAAAAAAGCCAGAAAAGGAATTTCAAATCATCACTTGAAAATTATATTCAAAATTTTTCAAAATAAAGGAGTTAAGTACTACTTTTGAGACAATGTAGCAGTGTAATTTTTAAATGACACATCTTTGTGGACCACTTAGTTTTAAATATGCATACAGCAAACGACTTGCTGGTGCCAGAGATAGTTCTTCAACTGTCTGTGCATGCCTGGTTGCTGAGCACAATTTGGAGCAAGATCTGAGGTTACAGATTTGGGAGTAACCCCTGAGTACCCGGGTGTCATCCCAAAACAAAATAAACAAACAAACAAACAAGACTTACTCATGGTAAGGATTACTCCATCTACTTTAATTAAACCATCATTCTAACACTAGTGCTTTATACAGCTAATAAATACTGAATGCAACAACTACCTGCTGTAATAACTTAAGAGCAAGTATAGTCAAAATCAAAATTAAAACCAACCAGAAAAATGTTCAGAATGTGCACATTAGCATGCATTTTCCGCTGAACTTTCAAATTCACAAATAACCAAATGACAACTTCAAACCAAAATGAATATCAAAAATATTCAAAGTTTATGACATACTTTAATGAAACAAAAAAAAAACCAGAAAACTGAATAGAGAGTGCATATTTCTAAAAGGGAAAGAAATTATCTGCATCCTTTAATCATAAAGCAAACATCAAAGAGTCAACATTTTAATAACACTGGCCATCAAACTATTCACTGAGAATTTTTCAGGTTGTGTCTTTAAAATGTATTCACTTATATATCTGGATTAAATTAACTCTGTTAGTTGCAAACCACTGTACTCAGATTTCTAATCTTAAGGAGTTTAAATGATACCCTATCAAAGCATAGTCCAAACACTATACAATATAATTCTACCATTTAATTCTTATATGCCTCCTCTGAAAGACTTATTTTATAAACAGGAGTTTTGTCCTGTTTCTCCAGAGAAAATGTCTCTATATCTAAGTCTTTTAAGAGGCAGTCAAAAGACAGATTCAAGTCATTCCTGCTCTGCTTCATCGGGCTTTGATAAAAACAGAGCCATCTGGTGGCGCGGCCCCATCTTCCTCCTCAGTTACGGTCTCTACAGTCCCAGAAGCAGATACAATAACCATTGTTTTATTTGCTGGCACTGTCTTCTGCTTTTCAGCAATAGCAGCACATACAGCAACTATCTCATCACTTTCAAAGTCATAGTCAGGAATTGACTTGGATGATAAATGTGTTGTTTGGATGGGTGCTTCATTTTTCTTAATCCTCTGTGCTACTTTCTGCTGCTCTTGAAGTTTTCTTGCCCAAGAAAGGTCTTCTTTCCATATTTCAGGGTTCATTGGATAGATATGAAGGGCTACTTGAAAACTTCGAATTGCCTAGGGAGAAAACGGTCATAGTTTTTATCTACTTTGTTTAAAAAGCTCAGTGCATCTAATTAGATCCACTTATCTATTATAGCACTTATATAATAATACATAATATTTTGGTTTATTGCACATCATATACGTAAATACATAATATTCTCATGTGTAAAGAAAAGAAGGAAAAGAAGAGTGTGAGGTGATAAAGTTCAGGTTGTGGGCCATACAGCTCAATGGGCTAAGTGAATGCTTTATATGCAGGAGACTATGGTTTATGCCCTGGCACTGCATGGTCCGCCAAGCACCACTAGGAGCAATCTCCAAAGACAGAGCCAGGAGTAGACCCTGAGCACCTCTTGTTGTGGCCCTCACAAACAAAAAAACAAAAAGAAAATTAGGTTGCAGCCTAATCACTGGATTATAATTACTGGAAGACAGGGAGAGTTATAGTAGTATGGGAGAGTGTGACCAACAAATTGCTGATGAGGACTAAAAGTTCATTAAAACAGAAGTACTGAAAACTGTGGTTCAAATTTTTTAAATATATTGTTTGTCCTCTGTTTATGAAAAAACATTTGAATTCAAGCTAAACCAAGATCAGATGGAACTAGGAATATGTATCTTTGAAGTCAAGAGTTTAGATCATAATAATGTCAACATGTGTCACAAGAGACAAAGAAGAAAATTATATAATTATTAATTATATCACTGGGTCAGTTCACAGAGATACAGTATGTAGCACTCAACACCAGAACATTTAAGTATATAAAATTAGCACTGCCAGAACTGCCAGTATATAAACTATAAATTAACAGCAGGTACTAGCGGGAGACTTTATTATCCCACCTTCACTAAGAACATCTAGACAGGTCAACAAAAAACAGAATTTGCTTATCCAAAGGGATGGAAAAGACATGAATAGATCATTTCACCCAGCAGAAAGGAACAGAAACTTATTCCAACAAGCACAAACAAACATTTTCTATACTAAATCGAATGTTAGATGGACCACACGTTGCTTCAGAAAATAAGTTTTAACAAACATAAGAGGAATAAAAGCAAACCAAGAATCTTTTCTGGCTACAATGAAGGAAACAAGACATCAATAACAGAAGGAAAATTAGAAAATCAACAAACAAATACCACTTACTTAATCACGAAGAGGAAATGTGGCACTATTTTATTAAATTATAAACTTGTTTTAGGATGTTAACAGTCAGGTATAGATAACCCTAAGTGCTATTTTGTTCTGTCAAAGCCAAAACAAAAATGGTAATTCTCACAGCTATTACCTGCAAGATTTCTTTCAGACAAGCTGACAGATGCATTAACTATCAATTCACAGTAAATTTTTAGACAATGGCCATTCCATTTTTGTAAGTTTCTACCCATTTCTATGTGCCCATTAAGCCTAGCAACTTCTTAGTGTAAATATGGGGGTTAGAGTGATAGTACAGCAGATAGAACGTTTGACTTGCATGTGACCGAACCACATTCAATCCCCAGCACCCATATGGTCCCCTGATTACCACAAGTGATTGCTAAGTGCAGAACCAGGAATAACCCTTGAGTATTGCTGGCTGTAACCCCCAAACAAATGAACAAGCAAACAATTAGTACAAGTTCTTCTCATATTCAACTTTGTCCCTTCATCTTCAAAAGCTATTAATGGTTTTGTCTCCATGATGATACAGATCTCACTCTACAATGTGGTAAATTTAATGACACAAAGAACAAATCTAAAAGTTGCTTATTTTATACTTAAGGTCTACCAAAACAGAACATTTATGTTCATTTCTACTTAAATTTTCATGATACTTGGGCCCAGAGAGATAGTATAGCGAATAGGGTGCTTGCCATTCACGCAACCAACCCAGGGCTCCTGGTACCCCAAATGGTCCTCCAAGCCTGCCAGGAGTGGTTCCTAAGTGAAGAGTCAAGAGCAACCCCTAAATTTCCCTCAAAAACAAACAACTACATTTTAAAAAAGAAAACAGATGTAATTTACATCATACCAAATCGCTAAATATATTCTGACCCTCACATAACAAGTATGCAAAATGAACAAAGATGTTACATAATAGTTGATCTGTATCTACAATTCATGCCTTGAAGTGGCAACTTGCTATTTACTTTTTGTACAAATTTGGTTCAGCTGATAAAAATACTTTAAAAAGAAATTGTAGTATGACACAAATCTAACTTTCTTACCAAAACTATCTCTCCCAATCCAAGCTGGGCACGTCCCAAAGTTTGCCAAGACTCCCATGAATGTGGATTTCTTTGGACAGCCATTTCTGCGGCATGAACTGCTGGGAACATTTCATGAAGAGACATGAGGACCTAAGGCCAAAAAGAAGAAACAAAACCAGTCAGCAAGAGGCATAAATTAGAAAACTACTAGAAGATAACCAAATGTAAACAATGCTTTCCATTTTCTTCATTTTGTTTTGGCGCCACACCCAGCAGTATTGGGGAATGGGGGGCTACTCCCAGCTAAATTCTCCAGGAATCATGGCATGCCAGGGATCAAACTCAGGCTTCCCATATACAATCCAGTCCTTTGAGCTATTTCTCCAGCCCAACCTTTTCCATTTAAAAAATCTATCTTTGGGACCTTGAGATGATGCCCACGAACTACTTCCAGCTACTACTTAAGCTCCTTAATGGCTATGATCCAGAGACACACAAAAGAATTTTGAAATCAAGCAGTCCGCTGCAGAGATACCGCTGGACTTTGCAATAGGTCGATTTCACCGGGCTACTCCAGATGGGAGCAGGTGTTGTCCCTCCGCCTGGCCCCGCGGAATCCCAGTGGCCGCAATCTTCCAGAGAACCCAATGAGAAGCCCAAGTACCCGAGAGCAGTAACGGCAAATGCCAGGTCTCACGTGATGGGGGATGGGCTGGCTTTTCTCATCCCTCAGCCTGATGGGACCTTGAGATGACGTATTGAGATGATGCTCTATTCCATTCCTCTTTATTCTACTTTTTGAGTTTGAGCCACACCCAGTGGTACTCAAGGGGGCACTCTTGTGCAGTACTCTGAGGTCACTTCCAGTATACTGGGAGTGGAAACTAATGTCTCTTCTGCATGTAAGGCATGCATGCTCTTTAGCCCTTTGTACTGACTTCCCAGCCCCAAATAGAAAAAATTGATTTTGCTCAGTCACTCACTGGGTTTCTAAACATTTTCCTGCAATAACAAAAAAATTTAGGAACTGGAGCTATAGCACAGCGGGTAGGGCATTTGCCTTAGCACGCAGCTGACCCAGGTTCGATCCCCAGCATCCCATATAGTCCCCCAAGCACTGCCAGAAGTAATTCCTGAATGCATGATCCAGGAATACCCCTGAGCATCGCCAGGTGTGACCCAAAAAAGAAAAAAACATTTTAAGTGGGCTGGAGCAATAGTAAAGCAGGTAGGGTGCTTGCCTTACACACAGTGGACCCGGGGTTCAATCCCCATAACCCCAAATGGTCCCGAAAACCAATAGGAGTGATCCTTGAGTGAGAAGTCAAAATTAAGCCCTGAGCCCAGCCAGTTATGGAGCCAAAACAAACATATCATTTAAATACTCTACTACTGAATTCTTCAAATAATATAAATCAGGAGAATTATGGATTTATAAAAGACTCCAACGTATGGGAAGATATTTTCCATTCATCTTATGGTCATCTGTATTTTACAAGACTTGTGACAACTATCATTACCAAGGTTCAAATTAAACAGTTTGTTTTATGTATTTTGCCAGAAATATTGCTTTAATTATGCACATATTCAAGACAGACTTACTTTAATATATATTCAAAGTTGAAAATTAAACACGTCCAAATGAAGGTGCACATATAACTTTATTCAGTGAATAAAATCAAAGCTGACAAAGGATCTGCCCTGTTTAAAATCATGATATGTTAGGCGTGTAGTTCAAGCCTACAGAGTAACTATTTCCTGTAAAAAAGCTGTTAAACCGGGGCTGGTGCAATAGTATGACAGGTAGGGTGCTTTCAGGGCTGGAGCAATAGTATAACAGGTGCTCGGCCTGCAGGCTGCTGACCCAAGGTTATATCCTCAGCACCCAGTATAGTCCCAAGCCCGTCAGGAGTGATCCCTGAGTGCAGGGCCAGGAGTAAGGCCTGAGTACCATGGGCTGTGGCCCAAATGTTTCTTTTTTCAAGTATGCTTGATGATTTGCTTGAGGTGTCAAGTGTCTCTAGGGCCAAAAAATCAGCACTGGAAGGACTATTGAAGGAAAGCACCTGCAACCCAGTTCAAATAGTTGAACTCCGTATGGTGGCCAGCACGGCCAAAAGTCAGTATTGAGCACAGAGCCAGGAAGAGCACACAGCTAGGACTGCTGATAACTGCCCAATTCCCTGCCCTCAAAAAAAAGAAAATATGAGAATATTTCAGATCTTCTTTTATAGACTTTCACACAAAACATAATTTTATTATCAGATTAAATATATAAATACAATTTTACTTTACTACTGCTTTAATTTTGAAATGCCAGGGACTAAGCCTAGGGCCTCACACATGCTAAGCAAACATTCTGCCATTTTGTCACATTTTCGGTCCTAGAAATATGATTTTAAACTCTAAGTATTGTGCCAGAGATGGCTCAAAGAGATGGAACACATGCTTTGCCATGTAGAAGCACCAGGTTTAATCCCTGGAACCACCTGGTCCCCAGAGAACTCCCAGGAGTGACCCTTAGCATCACCAGGTGTGGCTTCCAACCATTAATTAAAATAAATACATTGAGCCAGATCGATAGTACAGTGGGTAAGGTGTTTGCCTTGCACGCACAGGGCGAACCTGGATTCGATCCCTGGCATCCCATATGGTCTCCCCAGAACCGCAAGGAGTAATTTCTGAGTGCATAGTCAGGTCAGGAATAACCCCTGAGCATTTCTGGGTATGATTCAAAAAGCAAAAAATAAATACATTTTAAAAATATATACAAAGTACAAGCCTATTCAAAAATTAATAAATTGCCTCTATTTTGACCTTTTACTAAGGACTAGGCCATTTTGGATTTGGGAGGTGTTCATTTATTTTTGGGTAGCATGCAGCTGTACTGAGAGCTTACTACTGGTTCTGTGCTAGGGGGGATCATATGAGGTACTAGAGATTGTACTTGGGACTGCACTGCACAAGATAAATGACCTTCCTGCTGTACTATCTCTTCAGTCACCATCTTCATTTTGTTTCTGAAACACACTTGGTGGTGCTCAGGAGTGCTCTCTCTGGCTCTGTGCACAGGAGTGAGTGAGCCCTGGTGGTATTAAGGGGATCATATGCAGTTCCAGGAATCAAAGTGTCAGGCAAGCATCTTAAACCCTGTCCTATTGCTCAAGCCAGGACTAAGCCATTTTTGAGAACTATTATAACCATGGGGGTCATAACAGTACAGTAGGTAGGGTGTTTGCCTTGCATGTGTCTGACCAGAGTTCGCCCTCTTACGGTTCCCCAAACACCACCAAGAGTGATGCTTGAAGGCAGTGCCAGGAGTAAGCTCTGAGCATGACCCGGCTTGGCCCCCAAACCAAACCCCCTCCAAAAAAAATCCCCAAACCTACCCAGATTCAGGGGAAATTAGATTGTTATTAGGATTAAAATTAACTTCCAATGAAAGCAAACATTTTCAAAAAGTTCTCCAACTGCTCAGATATAACCATAGTTAAAGTAACAGTTAACTTCATTTGTGAGGGTAAACAAGTTTCTAATTTTATACATCAGGCAGAGTCATAAATAATACTGACATTTCCTCAAAGATACAATGTAATTGAAAAAGAAAAGGGAAGAAAATGTTACTTGGCTTTTCATTGCTTCCCAAACAGCAGTTGCATAAAAGAACTTCTACAAAATCCTTACCTGTGACTTCATCTCATACAGGGTAGCATCATTTGGGGTTAACTGTAGTGCTTCATCCCATTTCTGAATTGCTTCTCGATATCTGTGGTTGTTAAAGTTACATTCATATTATATATATATTTTAAATACATTGAGAATACATGACTGAACTTGAAAACGAGAGTAAGGAGCAATTTTAATCAAGAATTATCTCTATAAAGAACTGATAATAATGTTAAAGAAGCAAGAAAACGTAAAAGGAAAAATAGCCAGGGGGGAAGCAAAATATAAATAAGAGATCTTGAAATTTTTTTCTCTAAGATACTATTTTTGAGAAGTCACCACCAGAATTTTCTTTTCTCATGGACCCATTAACCTTTGTCCGTATGGTTATTTTCTATCTTATCTATAGATAAATGCTAACTCTAACCCAACCCAGGCTGAGCCACAGCCCTGAGCCTTGGCATTTACCTCAGGTTTATTCTATAGGACTTCTTTCATAGTCTCCTTCGCAAGTGGTAAATTCATGTACAAATGTATACTTAAATGTTTCTAGGAGGAAAAAGCTCTTAACTGCCAGAACATTTCTATATAGAGCTGAAATTCTATCCTGTACATTTTTCCCAGTTTCCTGAACATACACGCATGCACGCACGCAAGCACGCGTGACCCTACCCCAGATCAATTAAGACAGTAGTTCTTAGACTGAGACCCAGATTTTATTAAAGTTTTCCAGGTAATTACAAAATCAGGATTTTTTTTTATTCATTCTTTTTTTTCTCCCCCCCTCAAAACCAGTATTAACCACTAATACTACCTCTCATTAGCCAACTGCTCCTACAGGTTCACAACCATCCATACACAGCTTGAACTCTTATGCTAATCCCCCAAAGGTCCCATAGTCTTCTTTTCCTAAAGAAAGTAAATCCTTTAAAATAACTTTTTAAAAAAAATTTAATTTTCTGGCATGCCGGGAATCCGGGCTCTCACACAGGTAGCAGGCACTCTATGACAGAGTCACATTCCCAAACTGAATTGTTAAAAACAAAACAAAACAAAGGCCTCACCTATTATTCAAGTTTGCTAGCAAATGAGAAGATAAAAAGAAACCTATAGAGAAAAAAACAAAAAACTTCAAGTTTACTGGTAAACTCTTTTTTTTTTTAACCGTGCTCAGGAATGACCAGCCATTGGTGGTGCTCAGGTTTTACTCCAGTCACTGCACTCAGAGACCACTTCTGGCAGGCCCTGGGGACCACATGTGGTACCAGGGATCAAATCTAGATCAGCCGCTTAGAAGGCAAGCACCTTACCCACTATACTATTGCTCCAGCTCCACCAGTAAATGTTTTTCCCCCTATCTTTATTTAAACATGGTGGTTTACAAAGTTGTTCATAATACAGTTGTCTTGGGGCTGGAGCGATAGTACAGAAGGTAAGGCGCTTGCCTTGCACTCAGCCGATCTGGATGAGTTCAATCCCTGGCATCCCATATGATCTCCCAAGCCTCACCAGGAATGACTCCTGAGCACAGAACCAGCATTAAGTCCAAAGCATTGCTGGGTGTGACCCTAAAACAAACAAACAAAACCCCTTGGTTTTAGGCATTCAATGTTCCAACACCAAATCCTACCACCACTGTGGCCTTTCCTCCACCATTGTCCCCAGTTTCCCACCCATCCAAAGACCACACATGTGGAAGGCACAGCATTATTTTATTTTGCTTGTTACAATAAAATAGTAAGTGGAATTATTAAAAAATAATTCAGTAAAAAAAAATTTGACAAGTGTATTTTGCAATGATATTGTTAAAGTCATTGAGGATTTACTGAGCTATTTGTTGCTAGTTGAATTTTCTGTGTTAAAGTTTTCATTTACTGACCTTAGAGGGCTTCTATGCTTCTTTCTCATCTAATTTGCTGTGTTCCTATTGGCTTTTGGTATTGTGGAATCTGGAGGTATGGCTCCAGAGCTGCAGAAGTGGGATGACTCTTTGACTTGGCATTCTCTTCTGACATAGCTGTGACGCTAAACTATTTATATGCTAGAGACTGTGGGTTGTGGGAATGGCTGCTGGGGCTTCAGGCAGTAAGGTAGGATGTCGAGGAGAGGCTACAAGTAAGTTCTTAATTAGCTAAAGATCACAGCCTACAGACAGGAGACAAAGGAAGGAAGCGGAAGGCAGGATCTGCAGAATCCATGTAGTAGTTCTCTTCTTTGATTTGTTATGTAAAATTATTAAAGCTAAGATTTGGAACTGAAGAGACAGTGGGCAAGTGCCTTGCATGCAGCAAACTTGAGTTTTTGTCCCTGGCACCATATGTAGTACCCTGAGTGCAGAGTCTGGAGTAAACTCTGAAGAAAGAGCTAGGATTAAGCCCTGGGCATAGCTAGGTGTTCCCCCCCACCCCCCCAAAAAAAGCTGTAAGAACAAATCTATGCTGGCAATTGAGTTGCACTACGGGCTAATATCAGGTATTCAATTCTTTTTTTATTTTAAAACACAAAAAGACCTTAAATCATTAGAACTTCCTTTAATTCTACACTTGAGTATACTTTGTTTTGGTATAAAAATTGCTTCAAATGGAGTATACAAAGAAAAATAACCAAGTATGCATACACGAAAATTACACACACTCATAACCACCATCAAAAAGATGTTAATCATAGTTTATAAAGTTAATTGGCATACTCACCAGGTTTTTTAAATATATTAAGCATCTCTCTCTCTCTCTCTCTCTCTTTCATTTCTTTGAGGCATTAAACATGTCTCTCACACATTCATACATATATTTCCAAACACACACCAAATCAGTTGTTCACCATTTGATAAGGCCCCCAAGCCCTAATGCATTATGTTAGAAATTGAGAGATACTAAGTGAATAATACAGGTGGTCAATATTTTTAGGTAATTCCTCTATCAGAAAAGGAAACTAGGAAATTAAAATCATGACTTTTTATGTGTTTTAGAAAATTTATTTTCTGATATAGCTAATGAATAGTGCAGAGCCAAGCAGTAGACACGGGTAATTCTCTCGGTGTGATGAAAGGACAAGTTCTATCTGTTATCACATACAAAAGGCAAAACTATGATGAAAGAGTTCGTATCTCTGTTTTCTGTCTTTGGTGTCACATCCAATTATGCTCAGTGGCCACTCTCAGCTTGCTGCTCAGATGACCACGGGATGCCAGGGATTGAACCCAGGCCATTAGCATGCGGTACATATGCATTAGCCCTATGAGCCATCTCCCCAAGCTGGGTAAATATTTTAAATATATATATGTACATATATAAATATACACGTACATAGATAAGAACCAAATTGAGTTGCCTTGTTTTAGTGATAAATACAATATAAAGCCACAAAGTAGTCAAAAGCCTTAAATAGTTGTTCATCCCTTTACCTGCATGAACTCAAATCAGCTGCCTTTGCAGAAATCTTGTGACCCCCTTATCTAAATGACTCTGGGGAATACGGGTTCATGGTAGCCCGTGAAAGAATTGGAAACTTTTTTGGGGGCTGGAGCGATAGCACAGCGGGTAGGGCGTTCGCCTTACAAGCGGCCAACATGGCCGACCCGAGTTCGATTCCTCCGCCCCTCTCGGAGAGCCCGGCAAGCTACCGAGAGTATTCGATATGCCAGACACAGTAACAACAAAGTCTCCAATGGAGACGTTACTGGGCCCGCTCGAGCAAATCGACGATCAACGGGAGGGCCTTTACCTTTACCTTTACCTTACATTTATATCTGGTCCTGAAAATTAAAAAATGTAGGAGTTAGAGCTATAGTGCAGAGGACAGGCATTTGCCTTACACAGAGCCGGCCCAGTTTTTGATCCCTGCCTCCCGCCAGGAGCAAGCCAGGAGTAAGCACCTGTGGTGCCAAAACAGAAACAAACTCTAAAAGTGAAAGCTCAATGCAGTGTGATACGTAGACTGCTCACAGGGGTATATGCAACTATAGTACCTGACATTTATCAATTGCTTTTATTCTGAAAACGTAGCCAGAGCTGCCAATAGAGATACTTCTAAATGAAATGTCTGGTTGCCCACAAAGCATCCAAAGGTTTAAAGAACTGTCAGCAGTTTTCTACGGGCTAAAGAGAAGCAAGAACTGGTGGGCAAGACTTCACTAATTCAATCCCCTCCATCATTTCTAGTTTCCTTTTTGACTTCTGGCTGATGAATGGAGGGTGGCACCACTTAGCTCTCCCATTTGCGGATCATAGGAAACTAGGCACCGAATAAATCAATGGTCTCCTGTAACTTCCAGAGCATATCTCTTGATTCAACTTCAGCTTGGAACAGACTGAACAGACACAGCCCTACTGCAGCTGCTGGATAGGAAATACTAAAAGATAAAAACTTATTTTAAGGTCACTATGGTTAATAAATGACCAAAGTCTGTTCCAGCCAGTATAAAGACAACCTTAACAGTATGCCACCCAAGGAAGGAAGTGAATAGTTCCAGGGATTACACAAGGGTAGGGTGAGATAATGTCCTACTTGAGGATAAAGAACAGCTGGTGATCAAGCCAAATAAGTTAGATAGCATGTTCATTTACCAGATAGAAATGTCAAAGTATTTAGCTACACTGCTCTCAATTAAAGTTCTAATTTTACTACAGCTTTAAGTTTAATGAGCACTATAGTAATTTGCTTATTCATTTTATAAATGTTTACTGAGCACCACCTACCTGGGCCAGGTACTCTTGGTATGAACAAGTGATAAAACATAAATCTTACAATGGAGAATGTTTGCATGTGGGAAGGATGCAAAGAGAAAAAGATAATGCACATAATTAAAATATGGTAAATGCACAGGGGCTCTTGGGTCTGGGAGAAGAGCAGCAGCTCCCAGTCCTTCTTGTTTGCAAGCGCAGCAAGAGGCACACTAAGGGGAGGGGAGCCGTCTCTGGCACCAGATATGGTTACCCAAGCAGGGCCGGGAATGATCCCTGAGCAGAGTCAGGAGTAACCCCTGAGCACTGCCAGCTATGAACCAGAAGCCATTAAAAAAAACAAACAAAAAAACCCCCATAAAATCTGAAATTCAGTGTGGGGAGAGCATTGCTGAGATGTTTGCAAAAGTCATCAATA